CTCCCAATTTGGTGGGAGTGCCGTAAAGACTCTCTGACTGCATTTCATTGCCTTTACGCGCCGGGAGATTCTCCTATCCCATATCTGTTAAATGCTGCAAAAACATTTACTTGTTTATCAATTCTGTAGGCGTCATTGCAATCTCCATCGCTCTCTGTGCAGATGGCTACATTGGGAACTTGCAGGAACTTGCTATGAAAAAGTACCACATTTCTAGTCTCCAGATCGTAAGTCGTCTTTCGTTTTTTCTTATGAAACTTCAAACTAACTCTCCTATAATATGTCCCTTTTCTAGAGCCTGTAACACACTGCTTAAGCTCCACTCGCTGAGAAGATGTCCTTAAGAGGCCCTGCATTATTCTGCTTTTGTAGGCATCGACAATTCCTTACTTTTGGGATACAAAACAGTCATAACTGACACTTTATCAGTTCCTACCTACTCCGTTTCAACTTACATTTCCTTAAGCATTATTAATTTAGGACCGTATGTGATGAACCTATAATTCCATGATTTATCCCATTTTCCGTTCTCTGAAGAGATATAGTTAGACCTTTTCTGGCTTATATTAATGTCCTTTTAAAGTACACCACGCACAGACAAGCGGTTTTGATCTGTAGCGTATTATAACATAGGGACTTCCTTGGATGTCAATAAACGTTGGGCTTTGCCCAATTCTGGCCTATTTTTTCCTTCAATTAACAGATCTGAAATTAACTCCTAATTAGTAAGCAGCTTTTTGCGCCTCAAATCGATTAACTGACCAAATTTAAACATTGTTTACCCGGAAGATATTTGAACAAGGCAAAGATCATGAAATTTCGTGACCTCTTATTCACGTGCAGATGGTTGAAATTAACTACCTCAAATTTGTGTTAAACTACCCTATCACCACGCTCCAATCTCGACATTTCATGACTTAGACAATCTTGTGTATTGCCAACTGTTCTCTTGTAGCTGGCTTACTCGTATGTCAACGGATTCCTCATACTGTTAGTCTACCTAGTCGGCAACTCTGCTCTCGTCCCGGCAATTGATTTTGCCTCAAAGGTAAGTTACTTGTCGCTGCGCGGCGCAGCTTTTCCAGACGTCTTTGTTGTTTCCTTGTCACGGCAGATGTCGACGGCTTTGTGTGCATGTGCAAATATGCACAGAGGAGAGCATACATGTTGCAGGTTAAGTGTGAGTCAATATTTTACAAGGCCACTGAGGCAAGGAACTAGGACACCGTTCTCAATTCCTAGACTAACGCACTCCGCGTATACGCATTTGTGCCACCCAGTGCTTTGTAATGCAATCACTAAGCAATAGGTTGCCTTCCTTTTCTGTGAAATACAAAGCTTGGCATGACTCCCTACTCAAAGTATGTTTTGGTGAAAATTGTGAGCAAGCTAGAAACGATCTTCTTCACTTCTACTTTCGGAACTGTGTGAGTTGGTGAGTCAGCTAGTCCACCTGCCTAGCCAAGGTGTGTGATGATTCCACCTCGAGTCAACGGCGCTGTCAGTCTCTTTTGAACAGTTCTTTGCGCAGTAACCACGCCCCGAAAGTTGTGTTTGACTGGCGGACGAAATCAGAGGTTTGAGCTACACTTGGTTTCAACGCCCGTGAAATTGTATGCGCGATATTTGATTAGTTTTTGGAAGGTTTAACTAGCCTGTTCTGGTAGGTGATCGAGAATTTTTTTAATACGTTGGCCAATGCGACCCATCCAACCACGATAGGATTGGAGAGACCTCTCTACTTACGGGGCTTTAGATCACGCGGTCAGAATGACCGGATAGATTCTACAAAGCAACTATAGGCAGACCAGTTCTCTGAAACGTTTGAAGTAGACGCAAACCCATCTAAATTTTGTTAAATGAATTTTTACTAAACAAATGAGCTACTGGTCCTAAACTCCGTACTTCACTCACGCAACTAGACAGCACAGCCATTCAATCGTCCTGTTTGGAAAACTTTCATGTGACGGCGCAGATTAAAGTAGATCGATAAGAGCACGCGGAAAGAAAAATGAGGACGAAGGGGTCGCCCTCTGTGTTTGTCGCCAGGTCAATCTGCCTTTACTACGCCTACAGACATTAGTGCCTGCACTCGAAGATATTCACGTTGCTTGCTCTCATTCTACAGTAGGTTACCTATCTGATGAAAGGTTGGAGATTGGGCAACTTAACACACATTTGAGGTTGGTTATTTAGTTCACTGGGTTGGCTTGAGGCACAAAATGATGTTTATTAAAATTCCATTCTGTTCGGATCAGTATACTGGGAGAAAGTAGAAGCGAAAATGCATGAAATTCAGCGTTTGTGGATATCCGAGAAATTTCCTATGCTATTAGACGTTGCGGAAAAGAGCTTCTTGTTAGTGCATGTTGAACTATAAAAGAACACTCATGAGGAACAGGAACTGTTTAGTTATATCTGTTCACAAAACGGAAAA